ACTTTTTGTGATCTCTATTAATTTGTCTGTTTTATCTGTGTTACCTAATTTGTTGGTGTACAATTGTCTATAGTACTTGCTCATAATCCTTTTTTGTTTCTGTAGAATTGGTAGTAATGTTCTCACTTTCATTTCTAATTTTAGTAAGTTGTCTTCTCTCTTTTTTCTTAGTCCATCTAGGTAAAGGTTTGTAAGTTTTGTTGATCTTTTCAGAGAATCGACATTTGGTTTCAATGATTTTTTTCTATTGCTTTTCAATTCTCTCTTTCATTTTTCTCTGCTTTAATCTTTATTTTTCCTTCCTCTGCTAGCTTTGGGTTTAGTTTGTTCTTTTCTAGTTCCTTAAGTTGTAAAGCTAGGTTGTTGATTTGACTTCCTTCCTGTTTTTAAATGTAAGCACTTATAGCTATAAATTTCCTCCTTACCACTGTTTTCACTATGTCCCTTACATTTTGGTAAGTTGTGTTTTCATTTTCATTCATCTCTAAGTATTTTCTATTTTCCCTTGTGATTTCTTCTTCAATTGATTTGTTGTTTAAAAGTGTGATGTTTAATTTCCACAATTTTGTGGATTTCCCAGTTTTCCTTTTTTAAAACATTTCTAATTTCATTCTTTTGAGGTTAGAGAACATACTTTGTATATCTATATTTTGAAATCTACTGAAACTTAATTTGTGGCCTAATATAGTCTATCCTGGAAAATGTCCCATGTGCTCTTCAGAAGACTGTGTATTCTGTTGTTGTTGGGTAGAGTGTTCTATATATGTCTCTGTCAGATCTAGTTATTGTGTTATTTAAGTCCTCTATTTCTGTATTTACTTTCTTTCTGGTTGTTCTATTCAATCTAGTGAGTGAGGTTTTGAAATCTCCAACTATTATTTTTGAACTGTCAATTTCTCCAATCAGTTCTGTCAGTTTTTGCTTCGTTTATTTTGATGGTCTATCACTAGGTTTATAATTATTATACTTCTTGCTGTATTGAAACTTTTATTAATATATAATGTCCTTTAGGTCTCTTGTAACCTTTTTTATTCAAAATCTATTATTCATATGTCTCTGTGGCATAATGGGCTCCTAAAATCTATTTTGTCTGATTTTAGTATAGCCAGTCCTACTCTCTTTCAGTTACTATTTTCATAGAATATCACTTTCCATCTTTTCACTTTCAACTTGTTTTTGTTTTTAGATCTCAAATTATTCTCTTATAGACAGCATATAGTTGGCATCCTGCTTTTTTAAAAAAAATCCATTCTCTCCATCTCTGTCTTGATTGGAGAGTTTATACATTTACATTTAAAGTAAATATTGATAAGAAGGGACTTCTGTCATTGTGCTATTTGTTTTCTATGTACCTTATAGCACTTTTGTCCCTCATTTCTTCCATTACTGTCTTCTTGTCTGTTTAGTTGATTTTCTTTTGTAGTGAAATGTTTAAATTCATTCCCCATTTCCTTTTGTGTATATTACATAGTTATTTTCTTTATTACCATAGGAATTACATTTAAGATTCTAATGTTATAACACTCTAATTTGAATTTATACCAACTTAACTTTAATAATATACAAACACTCTGCTCCTTTACAGCTCCATCCCCACCTCTTTTGGTTGTTGATGTCACAAAATTACATCTATTACTATGTGTCCCAAAACATAAAATAATATTCTTTTAAATGAATTAGTTTTTTAAATTATGTAGAAAACAAGATTTGGAGTTACAACCAAAGTTGCAGTAATATTAGCTTTTACACTAATAATTGGGTTATATTGGTTTAAATGTATTAGTCTCTTAAATCATGTAGAAAATAAAGTACAGTTAGATACAATTAATTTTAATAGATTTAATAGATACAGTTAATTTTTGTATATTTTAATCCATCAGTATTTCCTTTATAGTTTCAGATTTTGACTCCACCTTTTAGTCTTTCCCCAAAACCCATTCAAAGATTGATTCTAGAGCTAAATGTAAAAGGTTAAATAATTAAGAATAAAAAAAAAAATCAGGAGACTATCTTCATGACTTGGGATAGGCAAAAGTTTCTCTTCAAGGAAACAAAAGCAGATCATTAAACTTTATTAAAATTAGTAATTTTGTTTATTAAAATATTAAAAAGAATGAAAAGGGAGACTACAGAGTAGAAGATACTGGCTTGTATATATATTGCAACAAAGAACTTGATTCTAAAATACCCATATATACCTATACATCAATATTTCAACAAATTAACAAGGAAAAGATAGCAATCCAACAAAAAAAAAATATAAGCAAACCACTTTAGCAGGCACTTCACTGGATATCCAACTGGGTATCCAAGATGCTCAACTTGAACAGTCTTCAGGGAAATTAATGCAAATTAAAACCACATTTTGCTAAAAGTCACATAGCTAACGGCTTGAACCTACGTAATCTATTAATTTCTCTTGCCCTATTAACTCATATGTAAATTGGGAATATTAATGTTTATCCTCAGGAACTTACAGTCCAAGGAAGAATAAGTGAAATAACAGAAAATAGATAACTGAAATGTCTACTGAAATATAGTTATGTACTGAAAATCCAAAGCTAGATATACACTGATCATATATATTTTACCTAAAAATCAGCACAAGTAGACTTAATGAAATGTTCATAAGCCTTCCATTGTATCAGTTTTGTTGTCTTATTCTTTGTGAACTCTCTTGGTTGCAGGGCTCATGCTGCTGCCAGATTAACCCATTGAGAGTCTCATTGTGTAAAGGACAGAGAACAGACACTATAAATCTGGCCCCATCCTCTCTCTCACTGCACCCTATTAAGAAGCTTAGTCCAGCACGTCTACCATTGTAAATAGACATTTTCCTCCCTATAATAGCTACCACTTGGCCCTGGCTGTGTGGCTGAGAGGACTGATTGCTGGCCTGAGAACCAAAGGTCCCTGTTTCAATTCCCAGTCAGGGCACATGCCTGGGTTGTACGCCAGGTCCCCAGTAGTGTGTGCATGAGAGGCAGACACACATTGATGTTTCTCTCCCTCTCTTTCTCCCTCCCCTCTGTCTAAAAATAAATAAATACATAGAGGTTTAAAATCATTTATAAAAATAGCTACCACTTTGCTACTTTAATACTTAGCTAAAGACAATCTCATTTAATTCTTGGGAAAGTCCCATAAGGTAAATGATCTCACCTAAGAGATCATTTCCATTTTATGAGATTGAAGCAGTTTAGAGTGAATAAGCCACTCATTCAAAGTCACTGAAATGTACAGGGACAAAACTGGGATGTGAAGCCTGTTTGTCCCACTCCCAAATCCACATTTTCTGTCACTGGGCTCCACTGCCACTACCAGCTTGAACTGTTGCATTTGTGGGTCCCAAAAGGTGGGTCCTCGTTCCCCTCTTCGCAAGGCATGCTGTTGGTGTCTTGGCACTGATGTCTTGGGGGCTCCTGGGGGTTGCACAGCCCTTCCTGCTGGGTGGAAAAAGCTCCTCTAAAAGAAACATGTTGAGGAAGGGAGTGGTGTGTGTAGGATTTAGGAATTCTGGGGATGGGAGGACCCTAGAACTTTTACCCAATCTGTCAACTCCCACTGCATCTGATGTTAGGTAAATAAGAGCCCCTCTTTCGAGTTTGCATACCACCCACGTCCCTTCCCCAGGGCTGTCCTTGTTGCTGTTCCCTCATCTCTGACCCAGCAGCCCAGGTGGGACCACAGTAAGCCTAGACCTAGGACCACTCGCTCATCATTTCACCCACTGCATCCGGTTCCAGACTATCTGCTGGCGGGGGCGGGGCGGGGGGGGCGCGGGGGGGAGACTGCTCAGAAGGTGGAGCCAGTATTTGTTGAAGTTGAGCGGGGAGGGGGGGGCGGGGGGCGCGGGCAGGCAACTGCCCATCCAGCAAGTTTCCTCTGGTCCCTACTTGGCAGAGCAGAAGGGGAATGTTTGTGTCCCAGCTGACACCTATTGACAATGACAGGGAACTGCCCTGCACCTGCCTGAGTAGTTTCAATATTAGGAATTGATTTGGGGAGACAGAACGCAGTGGTTACCCTGGCAGGCGGTAATCCCTCTGAGCCCCACGATCACAGCACAGTGCTCACCATGCACAGGCCAATTCTGAATGCTTTGCACGTGGTATTCATAATCTGCACAGCAGCCCCAGGAAGTAGCTACTATTATCAATATTTTACAGGTGAGGAAATACAAACAGTAACTTGAACTTAACCAAGAACAAGAGTAAGTCCTGGTTATATCCGTTTGTAAATAAGGGGATAGAATGCCTGCCCATCACCTACACAAGGCAAGGAGGTTTGTAGGCCGGTAACTCCCATGCATTGACAATAAATTAGCATTTTAAAATCTGGAACCGTTACAATTCTTTCCCTTCCACCTGTTTGGGTATAGGAAAGACCTTTCCAGTAGAGCCCAGGTAATGTGGATACAGAAACTCCCTGGAAAGATCCAAAAGAAATTGGTAAAAAACGGTATTGGTGGACAGAGAAGGTGGCTGGGGGGACAGAGTGGGAAATTTACTTTTCACTGTGCTTATAAACAAAATATTTAAATTTAATTAAAAAATTTAAACGTCTGTGCAGTGACAGGTCAATCTGGGTGGGGCTTCTGCCTCAAAGACGACGCCCAGTGCCGGGTTAGCTCGCGCAAGATCACCAACGAGCTACAGGGTGCCTCCCCCGCACCCACACCCCATGGCACCAGGGTGAGCGTTTTTAAATGAGGAAGAACGGAGGGAGTATGATCCTTGGCGCTGTGCTCCCCTCGACTCGTCCAGGACTGGGGCGTCCTGGGCGCACAGGCTTTGGAGGGTGGGGGCTACGCAGATCACGGGAGGCCCCGCCTAGGCCAAAGATAGAAAAGGCCGTCCGCCCCGCCTTGTCCCGCCCCGCCAAATTTAAGAGCACTTGCCGACGGCTGGGCTGGCCAGCAATCTGTCTCCCTTTTGCAGGGTGTTCCCACTCTCCTCTCGCGCTCCCCTCCTAGCGCCGGTCCCGACCCGGGCCGCGCCATGTCCAGCCCGGTAAGCGATCAGATCCAGCCTCCGCGCTCAGGCTGCTCTCCGGCGCCAGAGTCCCCCGCGCTTCAGCGCCGCTCCGCGGATCTTAGCAGGTCCCGCGCTCCCCGATACCTCGAGTCCTCCTTCTCCGTCGAGGCCATCCTGGCGAGGCCCAAGCCCCGCGCGCCCGCCGAACCCCTGCCGTCCGTCTCCGCCTGCGCCGCCTCGGACATCTGGACGACCCCCTCCCGCCCCCTGGCCCCGGTTCTGCCTTGGGCGTGCACGGCTACATTGCTTCCCACCTACCTGAGCGTGGGGCTCTACCAGCCGTTCCCCGAGCCCCCTGCGCCGGGGCTACGCGTGGCTCACCTCTGCGGCCTCCAGGGCCTCGGCGTCACAGGTAAGATGTGCCCCAGCCACCGCGTCCAGGGAAGCTGGCAGGTAGCTAAAGAGTGGAGCCCATGACAGCAGGCACAGGATAGAGAAGTCCCTGAGTTTGAGAACCACACACGGTTGGAGAAGGAAGTGGCCCTATGACCCTTTACACTGCAGTTGAAACTGAGGCCCGAGAAAAGGACTCGCTGAGAACGGCCCCTGGTGCCAGACCCGTCCTGCAGGCTGCCGAGGTGGGCGAACGTGTGTGTGAGGGCGGGTGCAGAGCAAGAGAGGCGGGCGGGCAGGAGCAGCGCTCTGCAGTCTACAAGGGCCAGCGCTGGGGCTGGGGCTGGGGCTGGTGCTCTGCGTCCCTAATAAGGGATTTGTAGAGTCCTTTGCTCCCTCCCTCAACCCCTCTTTGGATAACGCCCGGTGGCGCAGACTGTTCCTCAAAGCTGCTCTCATAGTGCACCCATGGCCGTGTATTAGCCAGGAGAAGCAGATGCTACAGGTGGTGCTGTTCAGCGGGGAGCTGCTAGGAGCTGGCCAATCCCCAACCCCAACGCCGCTTCCACTGCTCATGTCTGTGCGAGCTTATCTCCACGCTGAACCGCTCGGAGCCTCCTTGCTTAGAGCGCTCTTAGAATGGTACCTTAGGGCTCTAGAGCGCAGACGCTTAAATCCCCATGAGAATCTCACTGTTCAGGTAAGTTTCTCCTCTAACATTTAACATCCACCTAGAACAGTTTTCGCCATTTTTGGCTCTCTGGTTCAGGCTTCCCCTTGTCTCCATGACGAAAACCAGCAACGTTGGTACAAGCCTTATCAACCCACACCAAGTTCATTGTAACACAGTCTTACCTGATTTCTGCTCCCTGCGCTTCCCCCATCTTGTGTTTCCTCAATCCCTTGCAGCTGGACATTCCATCTGTCCTGGAGAGGAAACCTGGTTTCCCACTCCCGTCCAAATCCAAGCCACTGAAGCTGGGAGCTATGCCCGTCATCCCAGGCCACATTCTCCCAACCTCCCTGCTTACCTGAGGTCTGGATTACACTTCACTACTTTATATTAAAGTTGTCTCATTTTCAAGTTAGTTTTTGTTTCGGTATTAATTCATACACTTCAAATGTCAAAATGTTTACTAAGATAGATGGAGTGGCTGAACTCCAGCCACCCAGTTCCCCGCACCCCACAAGCAACTAATGAGACCAGTTTCTTTCCCTTGCCTTCCTCTCTTTTTTTCTTCCTTTCTCCCTCCTTCCTCCCTCATTCCCCTCCTTCTTTCCTTTCTTCCTTCCTTCCTCTCTCTCTTTCTTTCATCTTCTCAAGGATATGTTGATTTTTTTTTTTTAGAAAGAGAAAAGGAGAGAGAGAGAGAGAGATGCTATCGATGTGAGAAACATTGTCTCCCATATGTGCCTCAACCTGGGATCAAACCTGCAACCTAGGTATGTGCCCTGACTGAGAATCAAACCCACAAACTTTGGGTGCACAGGACAATGCTCCAACCAACTGAGCCACCCAGTCTGGGCACAGCAGTTTCTTTATTTTTCCAGAAGTATTTTATGCACATTTAATACGTGAACACACACACACACACACACACACACACACACACACATTTCTCCCCATATTAGACACACTGCTCTGCACCTTACTTTTTTCACTTGACCATATAGCTTGGAAACTTTTCCATATCAACCCATACAGAGTTTCTTTGCATCTCAGAGTGCTCCATTGTAAGGATGTACCATAATTTATTTAATCAGGCCCCATTGATTGTTTCTCATCTCTTGCTATTATGTTAGTGCTTATGGTAAGCCTGGTGGGCCCAGTGGTTGGCATCCTGGGCAGCCACGGTCCTGGCCTCACTCCCTTCACTCCAGCAGTTTGTCTGCCAGCCCTGGAGCCTCCTCAGGGCTAATGGGAATGGAGGGGTCTTAGCCCGGCACTTCCGTTCCTTTGTCTGGAACACTCTATTTTCAGACTGCCCCATGGCTCGTCTTCTCACTCCTTTCTAGTTATAATTTAGGTACTGCCCCCTGGTAGACAAATCTTCATCTCCACTGGCTCACAAAATCCATGAGCTGAATAGCCCCTTTGTCTGCATGAGAAAAAGGCACCCCTTCCTTCAGGCAGGCACAGAACATTGTCAGAGGCAACAGTTGACCTGTGGAGAGTGGGCAGAATTTCAGGCTCCATTTACCCTCTCAGCTGGGTACCCACGTGCAGGACACAAGGTACACATAGTAGCCCGGTTCAAATGTCACCTCAGTGAGGTGGCCCCTCTTTCTAAAGATGCAAACTATCTGTCCCCCCACCGATAAACATACACACTTACCCTGTCCTTTCCTGCTTTATTCTTCTCACTAGCACTAATCACTATCTGACATACTCAATATTTTATTTATCTTTTCTACTGCTTTACAGGGATTCTCTGTTTTGTCCTGGAACCATGTCTGACACATATTAGACATTCAAAAATTATTTAATAAATGAAAAGGGGGAACCCTTGAGGATCCCTTCCCTGCCCGTCCTATGGGGTTTCCTGAGGTAGCTAAGGAAAGGAGTGGAGGGCAAGGAAGGAGGGCGGTCTGGCAGTTTCTCTTAGGGCCAGAGCTTAGGCCACTCAGCTGGAGAATAGTGGAGGCAGAAGGAGTCTCACAACATTGTCCTTTCTGTCTCACTTGTTCATGTTCTGTCATTTCTGCGCAGTCTCTTCCCACTATGCCTCTTGCTGTGTTAACTGGCCAACGGAAGGCAGGGCAGTGGAGCTGCAAGCTTGTTCTGTCTCCTCCAAGATGGGTGGGTAGGTGGGTGCTGGCTGATCTCCCCTTCTGCTGGTTGCTCGTTAGGTTTGGAGCTGGCTCACTGCCCAGGCCACTGGAGTCCCCCAGACTGGGCCCCAGCCGAGGAACTTCAGGACACCGAGAGGCCCCCAAAGAGGGTTCGAACTATGTTTAACTTGGAGCAGCTGGAAGAGTTGGAGAAAGCATTTGCAAAACAGCACAATCTAGTAGGGAAGAACAGAGCCCAGCTGGCAGCCCAGCTCAACCTTACAGAGAACCAGGTAGGAGTGGGACTTCTTCGGGGCCTGGGCCACACCTGAGGACAGACACTACTCTCCAGAAGGCCCCGGGTGGTGGTTGGGAGGAAGACATGGCCTTTCTTCCTCTGTGCCTGGCAGCTGGGGGAGACAGGCCTAATTATTGGCTTACTCCCTGCATGAATGAGGAAAAGGGTCCCATTTGAAATTACATTATGGGGACAAAACATGATATTAATCTAGAATTCTATATCTCCATGCTAAATAAGGAGCTGACAATGAAATTAAGTAGGCATTCAAATAACTATTTAAAAATAATAAACGTTCTCTTCACCCCCATATTCCCATTCCAGGTACTGCACCATTTTTCTGCTCTTTTTACGAACTTCTTAAGAACTAGTTACATTCATTGTCTCCACGTCCTCACTTCCTATCTATTCCTTAACTCATTCCAGTATGAATTCTTCCCCTAACATTCCTTCAAAACCTCTCATCAAGGCCTCTAATGACCTCTGGGTTGCCAAAGTCAACAACACCTTCCTTTCTTATCTCCTCCAGTCAGTAGCGCTGACGGCTCCTTTTCTTATTGAAACGCACTCTTCTCCCGGTTTCCAGACACCTCACTCTCTTGGTTTTCCTCTCAGCTCTCTGCCCACTTCGTCTCAGTTGCCTTTGTAGGCTATTATTCTCTTTGTGACTTCAAATTTTTCTCCCTGGATGATTTCATTTATTCCCATGGTTTTAAATACCATCTATAAGCCAATGACTCCTAAATTTTTATCTTAGCCCCCTTTTTCTAATTCATACATTTTGCTACCCTTCTTGAGGTCTCCACTTGGATGTCTTATGGGCAGGTACTTCAAACTCAACAAATCTAAACCTCAATTCTGACTACTTTTCCTCCCCAAATCTGTCCCTTTCCCCACGTGTGACCCCACCACCCAACCAGCTGCTCACAGCACCTGGTCCTCCTAGGTCTCCCTTTTCTCCCACTTCCTATCCATCAGCGAGCCCTGTCAACTCTCCCTCCAAAATACAGCTGGAACGGCTGCATTTCTCGGCACTGCGCCGGTCCATCTCAGCGCCAGCTCTTGCTGGATCATGGCAAGAACCTCCCAGCTGTCTCCCGCTTCTCCTTTCATCCATTCTTCACACAGCAGCCAGATGTGCCGTTCACTTAACACAGCAATTTTCCACTGGTGTGTCACAATAATTTTTATAACATGCAATACCTGACTATTTAGTTGGGGCACTGGCCTCTTTTTCCTTAGATTGTCAAATGAAAAGATGGCAACAGCCAACACAACAATAGCCCTCTGATGTGACTGAATCAAAGTTATACCGGTTTTTTGGTCAGAGTGGCAACAAAACCCCATATTTTTTGGCGTGACCCAGAGTTTTAGTAATTAGTTTATGTGTGCCACGAGATGAAAAAGGTTTGAAAATTGCTGACTTCACATGTAAATAGAACTATGTCATATTCCACTTAAAAGCCCTGAAGTTGACACTCTTTGCCCCTGGCCTTCGTGGTCCGAGGTAACCTGCCCCCACTGACCTCTCCCACTTTCTCTTTCTTCACTTTCCCCTCTCACTCTCAGTTGTGCCAGCAATGCTCTCCTCCTTTCTGGTCCTCAAATACTCCAAGCTTGGTTCTACCTCAGAGCCTTCTTATAGGTCACACTCTGTCCTGGCCTGCTCTTCTCTGTCCCCACCAGACTGGTTTCTTGCCCTCTGAGCCTTGACTTAAGTGCTGGTTCCTTAGAGAGGTTCAAACCCCTGCTTGTGCCCCCCATTTGTGTTTATGTATTTGTTTGTTTTCATTCTTGTTATTAGCCTCTCTCCACTAGACTGTGGGCTTCACGAAGGCCGGGACCACGCCTCTGTTGCTCACCCCCGTATCACCATCATCTAGGATCGTGCCTAGCACATAAGAGGAGCTCACTAAATACTTCCTGGATGAATGGATGGATGAATGGCAACTGAAATGATAGGGAAAGATGTTTTGGAGGCAATGCTTGCCTTAGAAGGAAGAGCAGATGTTGACCAGGGTGGAGTGGGTACTGTGGGAATGGGAAAAGCAGTGGGAACTGCTTATCACATTCTGATCTCTGCCTACTGCTTCCACTTACAGGTGAGGGTCTGGTTCCAAAACCGCCGGGTCAAGTATCAGAAGCAGCAAAGGCTAAAACCACCAGCCGCGCCTGCCATGGCTGCCTCCACTGATGAGCCCTCCAGCAGCTCTGACACCATCATCCAGAGAGAAGATCCCGAGTCAGGGTGGACAGCTGAGGACTGGGATGGAAGTCAACCAAGGCTGTCCGGGCTAGCTCTTCCTGGGGACACCCACTGAAGCTCCCTGCCCCACATCTTAACAAAGAGCCTCATTGAGGTCACAGGGCACCAGAGGAATCTGAACTGTTGAGAACTGTTCAATATTGGCTCCTGGGAGCTGCAATAATGCAACGGTCAGGAGCACAGGCTTTGGCTTTCAGCTATATCCGTGGCCACATTACTGAACTTCTGAGCCTTTTTTCTTCACCTGTAGAATGTGTGTGTTGATAAGTTAGATCTCCCAGGGCTAAGATAATGTCTGTAAAGCACTTACAGTGTGCCAGGCCCAGTGCTAAGTGTGGGTCAACTGTTAAGGCATATAGGCCCCCTTCACCTGGGGTAGTGGTATCTGTACCGGCCTCGAGCTCTCCAGGGATTAATCTTCTCCTGGCCTGGCCATGAAGGAGAGAGGACCTCTTTGTTTTAATTTTTTTCTATTTTTATTTTCTTAAACCTCACCTGAGGATATTTTTATTGATTTTAGAGAGAGAGGAATGGGGAGAGAGAGGGAGAAACATAGATGTGAGAGGGGAAACATCAATCAGCTGCCTCCCATATGTACTCTGACTGAGGATCAAACCCAAAACCAAGATATGTGCCCTGACTGGGGGTCAAACCTGCAATTTTTTGGCATATGGGATGGTGTGCCCATTAACTGAACCCCCCAGCCAGGGCAAAAGGACTTCTGAATCAATGTTTGGACATAGAAGACTCCCTCCATACAGATGGTAGAGTTGGCAGCAAAAAGGAAGGAAAGTGGACTATTTCCTCACAGGGTTCTTGAAAGTTTTCTTGTTTTGTCTGAACTGTTACCACTCTTGAAAGCAGCTCAGGCCCAGCTGCCTCTTTAAAGCAGACATGCTACGCGGACCATCATCTTTTTCTCTACCTACCCAACTTGACTCCCCAACCCTGTCTTTATACAGAATAGGGAAGATTTGACTCTGCCTTTGCCGGGGCTGGCATTTTTTATAAACTCTGGTGTATTTTCACGGGACAGTTATTATTTACCCCTCTTCACGACTCTGACTCATTGTTCCCTGTCCTTCCCAGGAATCTGCTAAGAAGCCTAACTGATAATGTACTTCAGTGAGGACAGCCAGCAGCATTTCCAGAGCTGATTTCCCTAGCGCTCCACATTCCTGGTTGGTCCTCTGTTGAGGATATGTATTTACTTTCTAGAATAGGTTCTGGGTACTGAGGTGAAGTGATGGACGAGGGCCTGCCCTGCCCCCTGGTGGTGAAAGAGGGTATAGTCCCCACTGCTCTCTAGCAGAAGTGTCCAACTTTGAGTGTCTCTGGGCCACACTGGAAGAAAAGTTGTCTTGGGCCACACATTAAATACACAAACACTAATGAAAACTGATGAGCAAAAAAAAAAAGGTGTTAAGTAAATTTATGCTATTGTGTTGGGTCTCATTCATAGCCATCCTGGGCCGCATGTGGCCTGTGGGCCACAGGTTGGACAGTGCTGCTAGAGTTTTCTGAGAGAAGAAAGGCAGGAGTAGAGTAAGCCTTGGAAAACGAATTGCCTCCCAAGGCAGTGGACCATCCTCTCCTGGACACCAGGCTGCAGGCCCCAAGGAGGCCAGAATCCTTTTCTGTATCTATCTTCAGGGAAATCCTTCCTAATGCTGGACCCAAAATCAACTCTATTAATCAAAGAATCCAGCTAAATCTCATCTGCCTCTTCCAGCAACAATTGGCTCACTTTTTTTTTTTAAATCAACAGTCACTTACATATTCAGCAGTCCCCAAATGTCACCATGACCCCATAGCAGAAGCAGACACAGTTCCCTTTTCAAGAGCACAGAATCTATTGGAAGACAAGGAAACAAGGCATGGCTGTGGGAACACATGCTATAGATCAGCAGTTTGTGGCTTTTTGGGGCGGGCGGTCCTGAATGAGAAAACGGCCCCTCTTTTGTTGTCAGGTCAATGTGCATATGTACACTCACTTCTGAAGACAGTTTTAGGGAACCCCAGACTTGAGGTCCACTATGGATCCCTCTCCACCCCTGCTCCTCACCCTGGCTGCAAAGTCCCTAACCTGCTGAAGAGTCTGAGATAGGCATAAATCCAAGTTGATCATTTGTAGGACTGTCTGCCCCGCTGCCAGAGGGCCCACCGAGAAGGGAAATCTTGTGCCAGACTTTGTGGCATAAACTAGTCCTTCCCTTCAGGTTGAGGGTCAGAGAGAATAGGAGTAACTGCCTGCTGCTATCCTACCCCTTGGCAGGGTCCAAAAACTACTTTACCCAAGACAGGCCAGTGAATGGACAGAGTAAACAACAGACACACAACCATGAACTCAGACACAAATGCACACATCAAAATTATACAGGCACACCGGCTCTCATACAGGTACACACTAGCCATAAAGACAGAGACAGACGCAAAGCTGCACAGACGTAAAAGCACAAAGGAAGTCCCAGCTCCACCCAGTCAACAAACTAACATACTTAAACATAGACCAAAGGGACCCAAATTCCTATTCGCGAGTGGGTGAATTCTAGCAGCCAACGGGACCATCACGCAGGGGGCGGGGCATTGGGGGCGGGGCCTAGGGCGGGGCCTCCGGGTCGGGCCCGGGTCAAAGGTCAGAAGGCGAGGCGCGCCCAAGATGGCGGCCTCCTTGTGCGACGTGTTCTCCTTCTGCGTGGGCGTGGCAGACCGGGCTCGGGTCCCCGTGGAAGTCCGCTTCGTGAGCAGCTGCAAGGTGAGGCCAGAGAAGATCCCCCCTCACCTCATCCAGTCTTGGAGACAGCTCCGTGGGACCCCATGGCCGGAGCCCAGAGGCTCCGACGCTGCGTCCCGGCCTCTGTTCGCGGCCAGGGGATTCTGTCTGTCCCTGCGCACAGGCTTCCGGGGAGGTCACGCGGTGTACCGGGGCCTTCGGAGGCTCCGTGCGCGCCCCCTTCCCACGGAACTGGGCCCGCCCGCCAGCAGCCCTAATGCGGCTGCGTCAGGCGGGGGCTGCAGCGCTGTGAGGGGCCCCGGGCCTCCTGGCCACCTTGGGGACGTTTTGCTCCTGGGTCCCGGGAGCGGTCGGCGGGGATGTGTTGAGCAGAGGGAGCTGAGGTATTAAAATGCGTGGATCCTTAGGGAACTTTGTGAGTGAGATTTGGGCGTGGGTAAGGATGGGCCTGGGAGTGCTAAGGAAGTTGGACAGAAGCCTCAAACCCGTGGGAGGATTTGAACGGTTTGAGCAGGAGAGTGACGCGATTTTGTCGTTTTATTGTTTTTTTTAAAAAGTTCGCTGTAGAAAAAAATTGAAAGTGCATGTAAAGGAAGAACGTAGAAATCACAATCCTATGATTGTGCTAATATATGTATATTAAAGTAGCATTTTTAGAAACTGCTTTTTGATGCAGCAATCTTTTCTGTGTCAATAAACCTGTTTCTCTGTATTCATTTTTAAAAGCTAAGTAATCGTTTTAGTGTATTTCATGGGAGGGCCTCGGTTCTCTCAACCAAATGCTTATTTATAGGTCCTTATGTTGTATCTTATTTTTCACTCTGAGATCAAAGGTCCAGAAGCTCATTTTCTGTGCACATATCCTTTTGTTCTCTCCAGCACTGAGTATTTCTTTTCCTAGTTATCTTTGCCAATTAATATGTGCAAAATGGTATTGTTTTGTTCTTGTTTACATTTCTTTGTTTACTAGGGAGGTGGAATAATATATCCTGTGTAGGGGCTTTGTGTATCTTTAATCCTTGCCCAAGACATCAGCCTTCTAGTCACCTGTCTCCTGCTGTCAGTGTGTTCATACTGATCTAGATGGGCAGCCCAACTTCCATTGCCCTCTTTCCACACAGGGGACACGTGGAGCATTCTTCTTCCATGGAAGGTCAACTGCCCTGTATCCTTAGCTTCCTTAGCCGCAAACATCCCCATCTCCACCGAGGGGCTCTGGAACTCATGATCGATTTACAGTTTGGTGGTGTCTCAGTTGCATCACTCCTGGCATCCCAAAATGTTCCCGTTAACCATTACTTAATCTCCTGTCTCTCAGCCCCCTTCATTCTTCACTTTTTCCCTCTCAGTTCATTACTTCTGCTACTCTCCTTGCCTAATTGTCCTGTACCAGCCTTCTATGAACACCCCAGCTCTAGAAGAATGAGCTGGCCACCCTCTCCAGGACTACACCTGATCTGCTAGAGAAAAATCACATACCTGCCCAGACTTAGTGACAAGATAGATTACCATGAGCTCTTTGCATCTACAGTCATCAAATGAGATTGGTTTGTGATTTTTGTTTTGTGTAATTTCCCCAGATTACCACATCAGTTGTGCTCCTTCTGTTTTGCTAAAATGGAGAAGCTGTACACTGTGTTTGTTACTGAATAGTTTAAATAGCATGAGAATTATTCTTTGGTTTGACAGAGCTGGCTCATAAAACCATGTAGACTAGGGGCCTCACATGGGGTAGTTTTGACCACTTTATTGCTACTATGGACATTGGCAGGAATGCTTTTTAAAAATTTACCAACTATTATGCCAGGGACGTTACCTATCACAACAGAAACCTAACCAAATACTGGGAGGCCAACTAGAATGCCATACTCGTGCACATCAGTCAGAAAACAGCACTGTTATTAGTCTGTCGAGGCTTTCCTACTTTTAAATTCATTTTTGGTAATTTGTATTTTTTAAATACAATTATTTAAGGTTTTTAAATTTACTACATAGTCTTAAGGACCAGTACACTCTTTATAAAATGTATTTTTCAAATTGGAAATATATTTGCATGTTTTGTGTCCTTTCCATTCAGGTTTAGTTCTCTCCAAGCTTCTTGGAAATAAGACTTAGAGCTGTTTTTTGGAAACACTTTCATATATTTTAAAGATGAGTGGTTTTATAGAGGAACAGCTCTGCTTCTTTTCATTTTGTTTTGATTACTAAATATTTTCTACATTTGGTCCTCAAGAAAGAGATAGATATTTATCTAATATTGAGATTTAAGATTATCAAAGGTAGTGCTCATATCATTTCATCACAGAGTGGAAGGCCAAGTTTTCATTTTGCTAGATTGAATCCCAAGGGCTACAACGTGTGGAGGTAGGGCTCCTGGGAGGACAACCAAAGTGCATCCACGGCTTCGCCCAGTGGTTTTGTTCCAGCAGCCCCACTCCCAGAGCTGTTCAGAGTGTTGAGATTTGCGGCTCATAGGTTGCTCAGGGCCTGTCCACGTCTACACTTCCTTGCTGCTTTGACTTTGGGTGGTGCCCCGGTCTAGCCAGAGCTCCAGTGCTAGAAGAAAACAGGTAGCGACCCATGAGGCCATTTGACAGGACATTTCACTGCTGTGCTGATCCATTTTCTCTCTCCCTTTTATGACAGTTAGTATTTGAAGGGGCACCATCTCCTTCTCTAAGTGAACAGTAGGAGTAAGTGCCTGGTGGGGCCAGTAACTTCTCTGGGCTCTAAAGCTGTCTTCTGCATCCCTTTGCACTCCTGAGTGATGGCAGTTCAGTGATTGTTTTCTTATCCTTCATCCCTTTTGTGGCATGTATGGTGCTTTAGACCAGTAGTACTTCTCCAAATTTAACATGCATATGGATCACCTGGGCATCTTGTTAAAGTGCAGATTCTTCTTCAGCAAGTCTGGGGTGGGGCCTGAGATCCCACATTTCTAACAGTCTCCCAGCAGATGCCCAGGCTGCCCGTCTATCCCCTCACTTTGAGTAGTATGGAGCTGCAGCTCATGAAGCAGTCACTTGTGCTATTTCATTGCATCCTGGAAACTACCTGGTTGATACTATTAAACTACTCCCTTTTCTTGTGGGAAACACATGCAAAGAAGTGAAGCAGTTAGCTCAGTGGTTCACAGCAAGTAAGCATTAGGATTGAGGTCAGGATCAGTCATTCCTTTCAGAGTAACCCCTGAGAAGTGGTTGGGTGCCAGGTCCTATGCTAGCTGCTGTGAGTACCAGCCCGACCAGGGACATAAGATACGTTCTCTCCCAAACTAGGCCTCTGTCTCCCATGGCGCAGGATTTCTTTGCAACCCCTACCTGCAGCATCACTGCCAAGATCCTGGCAGGGCATGTGGGTGACTCAAGAGAAGGCTGCCCTGCCGTTACCAGCTCCTGATACAGGAGGCTCCAGGCTGCTGAGCCTTGGCTTTTCTCTGGCCATTCTAAAAATTTTCCTCTGGGTAGTCTGAGATGGCTGACATCCCAGGCCCCCTCCTCTGAACAGGCTGAAAGAAGTATGACTGAAAGTAGGTTAGAGCTGCATTTTCAGAGGAGGCATTTAATAGGGTGCTGACCATGCTTCATGGACCCTCCAGCAGCAGAGTCCTCTGGTGAGAGGTAGCATGTGGGGCTGGGGCTGGGTGGCCCTCTGGGAGCCTTGGAACTATGTGCTCTGTCTCTTCTAATGGCCATCCTGTTCCTTCTCTGCCCTCTTAGGGGAAGGGGCTATTTGCCACACAGCTGATCCGGAAGGGGGAGACCATCTTTGTAGAACGGCCCCTGGTGGCTGCGCAGTTTCTCTGGAATGCACTTTATCACTACCGAGGTGAGCCCATCGCTCCCATTCCTCATGGCTGCTGGACCCAGCTGCCTGTGTGCAGGGGAAGGAGCTGCACACATCCCTACTGGTGGGTGTCTCTGGGATGTTAGGAGGAAAGCCTGTCTTCCCTTGGAGAACGGCCCCTGATAACCGCCCCTCTGTCTGACCTCAGGCTGTTTGGGGCTGGGAGTCTGTAGGAGAGGCTCTTCCAAAGTGCTCCCTGTGGAGGACTGCCACTCACATGCAACTCAGTCTAGTCCCATCATGTAAGGGACCGGGCATCATGCTGAAGGGCTCTGCCAATGTGGAGCCCTGTACCAAGAGGGGACCACGTTCCTCTTGGTTAAAAAAAGGCTGCAATTGGGGTTAGAAGCCGGTCACATGCTTTTTTTCCCCCTACACTTTTCTTAGGCCAGAGATAGACTGTGGAATGAGGGCCAGTTTTTTCCAGAATGTGGGCAAAGGCCAGTCTGAGGAAAGGGACGGGAGCCCCACAGACTACATCCCATTGAGAAGCAGGGTGAGGGAAGAGGGAATCATCTACCTTTGAATGCATGTGAAATTGATGCATTCATTTCATTCTTTAACATATTCATTTACTCCTTTCCCAAACATTTTGAGAACCTACTGTGTGCCCAGCACAATTTTAGCCCTGGGGACACTGCTGTGAAAAGGACAAATGTGGCCCCTACTCCCAAGACACACCTTCATGCCTGGCTCTCTCCCTCAGCCTGTGACCACTGCCTGCGGGCACTGGAGAAGGCAGAGGAGAATGCCCAGAGGCTGACGGGGAAACCTGGCCAGGTGCTGCCTCACCCTGAGCTCTGTACTGTGCGCAAGGAGCTCCACCAGCACTGTCCCCACTGCCAGGTGAGTGTCCCTGGGAAGAGCACCTGAAAGGGACTGATGGGAGAGGCCTTAGCTGAAGTCTCCTTTGGGGAGACAGGAGCGAGGATGGACCTGGTCATGGCCCTTGAGAGCCACAGTGCAGGATGAGACATTGGAAAGGCTCAGCTGCTGCTCAGTTTCACCCTCTCTGTTCCAGCCCCGTTGCCTAGAAAGTGGGCTGCAGTGGGAGCTTGCCCTCTTCCTATGAGCCTGGCTGTGGCTCTCCCCTCTACCTACTAAGCTCTTTTTCTTTCCTGTGGTTTTACAAGCCTGGGTTAGTAGGTACCCCCAGTGCTCTGTGTGCTTTCTCAGGTCACAGTACTGCTGAACTACTGCTCAGGGGCTGTTTGTGGAACAAATGCTGTTAGAGAAGGCAAGTACCACGTGGGACATCTGTGCCTCGCCCCATGGCCAGATCCTGGGGTGCTGACCTCCACCCCCCCCCCCCCAGGTGATGTACTGCAGTGCAGAATGTCAGCTGGCGGCTGCTGAGCAGTACCATCGCGTCCTGTGCACAGGCCCCTCCCAGGATGACCCCCTGCATCCTCTCAATAAGCTGCAGGAGGCATGGAGGTAGGTAGCATTTCAGCTCTTCTTTTCTTTATCTCTCGCTCATTGCCTGCCTGTCTGCTTGGGCTCAACAGATGCAGCCATTTTTCTTAGGCTACCATCCCCCAGGCCCCCCCCCCCCCCGCCTTAACTCTTAGGATTAAACAGAGGTCACATCACCCAGCTGCTGCCTTTAGTCTGAGCTGCCACTCCCACCATCTTCGTCATACTCCCCCAAAAAGCCCCATTAAGGCCAAAAGAATGTGAAGTCCTGTCCAAGTCCTTGCCGATGACTTTCTCTCTTTGGTTATGAGTGAGGTTGATAGGAAGTATTCTTCCTAGCTATCAGAATGAATTTCCTTGAAATCAGCTACTTGGAAGGGAATTTCTAGGCCAAACCTTTTCCTTTCTCCCCAGGAGTGTTCACTACCCCCCTGAAACTGCCAGCATCATGTTGATGGCCCGGATGGTGGCCACAGTGAAGCAGGTGAGCCAGCCTGACGCCTGCAGGGAAGCTGACTCTGGCCTCATTCATCCCTTCGCCTCAGGCTCCTCCTTACCCCAAGACCCTGGCTTGGATGCAGAATTCCGCCCGGGCTCTCCAAAGAACAGCTGTTTACTATGCAAATCTTAGGAGTTGCTAACCATAGAAATCTGTCAGGAGGTGTGGGGGCTCATCTTGCCTGTAGACTTTGACCTCTGAAAGGACTTCTTTTGCCCCAGCAATTCATGCGTTTGGTTTGTACGCACCACTTTTTTAGGATTGTATCTCTTTAAGTAAAGCGAGAGAAGCCGTAGTAACCCCTTCTATTAGTATTATTGCTCCTCAGCCTAGCGCTCCTGTTTCTCCAGGTGTTGTTGAATTGGCTAGATTGGCTTCAGTTGGGGAGATGGTTGGGGTATGCAGGGTCAGGAGGAAGGATCTACCTAGAAGCTCAGGTGTGACAGTATTTCTCTGGTGGCAGGGGCTTTAGAAACATAGGCTACCCCTCCCACATGGGCGACAGTGGCAGTAAGGATGCCGAAGTCTGTGTGTCCATGTGTGCGTGTGCCTGTGTGAACGCGACTCTGAAACATTTGTTCACTGCAGGCCAAGGATAAGGATCGTTGGATCAGGCTCTTCTCCCAGTTCTGTAATAAAACGGCCAATGAAGAGGAAGAAATTGTCCACAAACTCTTGGGGGACAAATTCAAGGTTGGTCGTCTCCCATGACCCTTCCATCCCAATAGCCTGGGATATGCTGTGGCTTCCTAAGGAGCACTCCACATTTGGTCCCTTCCCAGCCAAAAGTCTATTCAGAGCACTCACATTCCTGGCGCTGTTTAACGTTGTGACCTAATCTGGACCTAAAACTGGGAAGTGGGGTGATGACAGAGGAAGGAGAGGTGCCCTGATATGGAAAAGCAGGACCTCATGATAGAACAGCAGTGGGCAGGTCAGGTGTTATGAAAAATGGAAGGTTGAGGGCCCACAGGGTCAGGGAGCAGAACAAAACAGGAGGATTTTAGCTGCCAGTACCCACTTCCAGTGAAAGAATTACAAATTCTCATTGAGGACAGCAGACTTCCACATAGAAGCTGCCTAAAGGTGGAGGCAGGTATGTGAGAGGGCCTCTGGGGCGGGCCTTCCTACACTGAATTCTGAGGAAGGGAGGGGAGAGTCAGGCTGGTCTGGGGGTTGGTTAGGGGAGCCTGGAGGCTGGTGGTGAGGGCAGATGTTCTAAGCTAGGCCTCCTCGGCCCTGCTGGTACGCGTGCTGGAAAATGGAGGCATTTGGGGTTTGCCACCGAGAGTTGCAGCAGGCCAGTAGACTGCCATGACTCTTTGAGGATAAGGACCCTGGCCTTCCTTTATCCCCAGGGAAAGCTCAGTCTACAGAGATGGCCCTTTTCCTTCCCTCACAAGGTCTTCTGGGCCCCACCTGGGTGCTAAGTGGAAATCCTCAGAGATGCAGGTCTCCCTGTTTTCCCTAAACCAGGGCCAGCTGGAACTCCTGCGGAGACTCTTCACAGAGGCCCTTTATGAGGAAGTACTCAGCCAGGTGAGTGTGAGGAGAGTGCCACCAGTGTCCTCCCTGGTCACTCCAGCTCTCTAGGAGCGACTGGGTCAGCGAAGCCAGAGCTGACTTGGTCTCCTAGAGTTGGGATGGGACTGACTCACAGAAGACGCCCTGAACAGAGTTGTGTCAGAAAGAAAAGCAAGTGGCTGTACACTGAGTGCCGATTCTTTTCCCCCCAACAGTGGTTCACTCCAGATGGATTCCGGTCTCTCTTTGCTCTTGTTGGGACAAATGGTCAAGGAATTGGGACCAGGTTAGGAGACAATGTTCTGGATATATTGAATTTGTCCCTTGGGGCTGTGGCGGGAAAGTGACTGAGGAAGGCAGCCTCAGCTCCTTTTAAGATTAGGGTGGGGCAGGGTACAACTTTGTGGCCAGAGTGCTGGACTGCACACAGTGACGGGGACCACTGAGCGGGCGGAATCTGCGCCTCTTGGGAGCTTTGGTCTGTTGGGGAAAATGGGGCCCCCGCCCTGGAGAAAGAAACGGGTTTAACTTGCATGGAGGTGGAGAGCCCTGTGAGCTGGGCCTGCTGCTCTCCAACCATGGCTGCCTGGGACCCCCAGCTCCCTGAGCCAGTGGGTCCATGCCTGTGATGCTCTGGAGCTGAAGCCTCAGGACCGCGAGCAGCTGGATGCCTTCATTGACCAGCTGTACAAGGACATCGAGGCAGGTTGGTGATATGGAGACACCGCCCCCCTCCCCGGTCAGCTGGTGGACACAGCCTTCCCCCGAGGACCTCTGAATTAGTGGTGGGGGACACGATCCTGTGTGCATGTGGAAGCTTCAGATCTGTCCAGGGGACACGCAGATGAGAAATGGTCCTGAGACCTATGCAGAGGCTCGATCTCGGGGGGTGGGGGAGAGCTGGGTGAATAAGAGTGCTATCGTTTATAGGAAAACAAGGCTTGTGCCTCGGATACAGGTTCAGGTGAAACAGTAGAGATCAGGTACAGTAGTGTGGGAGGGGGCAGCAGTGAGGCAGTACCTTTCCTTGCTAACCTAGTTGCGTTTTCCCTGTAAAGTGGGTAGAATAACATCTGCATATTACTTCTTACAGCAACTGGCGAGTTTCTTAACTGTGAAGGATCAGGCCTCTTTGTGCTTCAGAGCTGCTGTGAGTCCTGTCGTTGAGGAGGGGTGGCTTCATGGTCACAGTTCATTCCTTTCGGTTCGCCCCTTCTAGGCCGATGGGGTTGAGTCTGGGAGTGGGGTTAGATGTGAGCTTCTGGGCGAGTCCTCCGGTCCTTCTTGGTTCATCAGTTGTTCATTCATTCATTCATGGGATGGCAGGCGCCTTAATATACGTTTATATATAAAACCTTCCAGTGGGCCAGACCCTGTGCTCTGGCAGTGCACTGAGCTGTGCTTCTCAAAGGAAGCGTGGCTGTGCACCACCACTGCCCTGTGAAATTTGGCAGGAAGTGTCCTGAGAGCCTGGGAGGCCCTCAGGATCCTGGGAGGAGGGGGCTGCGGCTAGCAGGCCGTCCCCACCTGCTGGGGAGGGGTAGAGTCAGCTCACTCTTGTCTGTTCTAGATCCCAGGTTCCCGCCCTCTGGATTCCTCACTGCAAATCCCTCTTCCCAGGTTCCAGGGCTACTCTACCTTCCCAAACTAGGCTCTCAGAGGGCCTGCCTCAGCTGTTACCAGATGTTCAGCAGCAAACAGGACTGAGGTCTGGCATGGGCAGCCCTCTATAGCCCTGTCCCTCCCTTTACGAGACACTGGGACGCACGTGAGAATCACGGTGACCAGTGAGGAGGAAAGCAGTGGCAGGCATGGACGGTGGCAGAAGTGATGTGGGCATGCATTCGTGTCTGTGCTCTGTGGCCTTGAGGAAAGCACTGGTTGGGGAGTCAGGAAACACGAGTTCTAGGACTTGCGCAACCCTGGCTGGGATCAGAAAACAAGAAAGGATGGGACCTAGTGCCTTCCAGAGTTGAGGCTGTCATTTTATGAGTCAGCAGTCCTAATTACCTGCCTCTCATGACCCAGGCAACCACAGCTGTGTCCCCAATGCAGAGACCTCCTTCCCAGAAAACAACTTCCTTTTGCATGTCACTGCCCTGGAGGATATTAAGCCAGGAGAGGTGAGGGGCTGGGAGCTCTGGGGAGCTTGGAGGGTGGCAGTGGGCTTTGCAAGTTCTTTCCAGAGATTGGGAGCAGCAGTGGCTAGGGCTCCATGTTCAGGCTGTTAAGCTGAATCCCCCATGCCCCAGGGAATGGGACTGTCTGCCCATGGGTATGCTGGAACCCCACCCCACTTCAAGAAATAACTCCAGAACACCTCAGAGCAGTGTTTGAGAGACAGCTGTGAGCCAGGTTCTTGTCCCCAGCCACCTTTTTTTCTCTTTTTAAATCCTCACCTGAGGATATGTCCTGATTTTAGACACAGAAAGAAAAAGAGATACATCGATGTGAGAAACATTGATTAGTTGCCTCTCGTATGTGCCCTGACTGGGGATTGAACGCACAACCTTTTGGTGTATGGGATGGTGCTCCAACCAGCTGAGCCACCTGGCCAGGGCTCCAGCTACCTTTTGATTAACCAACCTGCAGATTCTAAGAAAGCAGGCGATGGCTCTTTGTGGCTTGGGCTATAGAGAACTAGTGTGGGTCTAGGGTCTTGGCTGTTAGCGCAGCACCCAGCCAAGCTGAGTCTTCTTCCAGAACACCAAGATAACTTCTGAGCCCAGCCACTGACCTTGTCCCTTAATGCCTTTAACCATGGCCTGAGGCTAACTGCAGTCCCTTCGCTGCCTCAGATGTTAGGTTGTTAGAGCCTCATAATGGTCTGTTCGCTAAGGGCACAGGGGAATGGATCAGGGCAGCCAACCTGTTCACTGAAGGGCAGCTCAGGCCCTTGGAATAGGGCAGAAGTTGGGAATTGGGTAATTGTTGGGGAGGCCCTAATCCCACCTAACAGAGCAGAGACTGTCAGACCGTATTTCTCTGCCCTCCAGGAAATCTGTATCAGCTACTTAGACTGCTGTCAGCGGGAGCGCAGCCGCCACAGCCGCCACAAGATCCTCAGGTGCCGCTGGGGACTGGGTGGGCAGCTGGGCTTGAGTCCTCTGCCCCAGCGGCTGCCTGACTTTTCACCCTCCACCGTCCCCCTATCCCCTGCAGGGAGAACTATCTGTTTGTCTGTTCCTGCCCCAAATGCCTGGCGGAAGCTGATGAACCCAACGTGACCTCAGAAGAGGAGGATGAAGAAGAGGAGGAAGGAGAGCCAGAAGATGCAGAGCTGGGGGATGAGATGACTGATGTGTGATGTCACCCTGCCTGGAAGGGGCCCTACCCCAGATTCTGCCAGAAAAGGGGGTCTTTCCCCGGAGAAGAGGCTTGGAAGGAACTCCCCACTCTTGTTGCCTGCTTCCCCCATTCCAACTCTATCCGCTGGAGGGTAGGACAGAGGCTGGACCCTAGGCCCTCCATTTCCCATCAGACCTCATGCGCTGGACACTGCTGCTGAATGGCTCGGGCTCTGCTCCGTCACTGAGCCTTTCAGAATTATCCTCCCTTTCCCCCGCCCCCGAAGTACTCCACTCCAGAGTGTGAGCGGCTGGAACCAAGATCAGAGCCTAACAGTGTTTCTTGCCCCATGGCTATGCCTACCTATCCCTCCGAGGCTTCACCTCTCTCTACATTCTATGGAGAGGGTAACAAAATGGCAGTCTAACAGCCTTACTTTATGGAAGAAGAAAGGAGAGGGGGTGAGTTGCCCTCACCTTCTTCCCCACCTCCCACCATTGTAGCTGATGAGGCAACTGCCTGAGTATACTAGCACAGCTGGGTGGGGCAGGAAGGAGGAACTGGGCCTCCAGAGCACTTGGCCTGAGGCTTGGGGAACACAGAACCAGGGAGAATTCCCTTCCTCGCCCCACCGCCCCACTCCCACCACTTGGACATCTGGGGGAGTGGAGGTTAGCCCCTTCCCCAAGCTCCAGAATCAATCTATCTTGTGCCTTGCCTTTCAGGCCCTGGCACAGTGTCGGGCCCCATGGGGTATGGAGAAAGCCTCTGCCTCCCTCAGGAGGGGTATGTTGGAGATCATCACCCCTGCCTCACGTCCTCTTCCCATTGAGGACTCTGGCAGCATGGCTGAGACCTAGGGGATGGCAGGCCTGTGCTCCTAACTTAGGATGCTCTAGTCTTCTCTGGGACCAGTTGAACGTGGGTCAGTGAGGGGCTCTCCTGGCCTCCATCGTCAGGATCTCCACAGAGGAACACTGAAGTCTTCCAGAAACCTGGAGGAGCTGGGCTAGGTACTCAGAGATCGGCCCTGACTGTGTCCCCCTATCCCCAAATTAGCACGACCCCTCACTCAGGTTGGGTGCTATGGGAATTATAACCCTCCACTCACAGTTCCTTTCTGCCTACCTTCGCTAAGGGGTCCCAGGAAGGCAGGTGCCGGCCCACAGGCCCTTCCACGGATTATGAGCCGGGTGAAGCCTGCCTCTCTGGCCTGTTGGGTTCTTACTCCTTCACAGCAGCTGGCACCCCCTCCCACCCTTGCCTGCCCGCTGTTCTCAATAAAGTGTGAGTGGTGACAGGCCTCTGAAGGAATGCTTGGTGGAGAATGACATGACAAAATGCCGGAGCACGCAGCAGAAAGGCGCATAGGGTAGACCAGGTAATAGTAGGCGATGGGAACTCTAGCTCCCCAGTTTGGACTCCTCTCTGGTCTTATCTACAGTCCCAGAGCAAGGGTCCTCCATGGTCAAGTTTGGATTCCTAGCACCAGGCAGCAAGATCAGCCTTCTCCCCAGAAGACCGACTCCTAAAATCTTAAGCAGAAAACTTCGTGGGAATCCAAGATAGTCTGAAGGACCTTGGAAAAGTCATTTATCCTCTGGGCCTCAATTTCCTCCCCTCAACACAAGGGCTTTGGGCCAATAGAGACTGAAGCCTTCTCCCACTCGTGTGCTCTTATTCTAGGACACAGTTGCAACCCTGATGAGAGGCTTTATTGCTAAAAAGTCAATGAGGGTTTGTTAAGTCCTCAAACACCAGCTCTTAAACTACTCCAGCAACTGCTGTGAAGGACAGAGGAGATCCTGGGTGGGGGAGGTGGGAGCCAGGTGGGATGCAACAGGTCACAGAGCACTCAGGCCACTTGCAATTTGCTCCTTTTGTTCCAAATTCTGGCCCAGAAGCCCTGGGAGCTGGGTCTTGCATCTTCCCATAGACTGAGATAACCTTGGGGAAGGGGAACAGTGGCGCGGCTTCCTTTAGCCTACCCAAGGGCCGTGCCTTCTTCCTCTACCTGGCTCCGCCTGTCCACAAATGCTATCTCCAAGTCCCAAACAGCAGAATTCCTGGATTTCCCCTTCCCAGTCTAGAGTTGCTCATGGGTAGAAAGTGGAACCAGCTCTTCTACCAGAAGGTCCAGGGCGGTTGCAGCAGCTCAAACGTGGGGATGCTGGTGACATTGACTGGGATGGAAATGATGGCCCATGGCAGCCCATGCTGTTCCAGGGAGCGGCGGATCATGTAGCTGGGAGGGCATGGAGAGAGGTGGCGACGGTCACTTTCTCAGCATCCCATCATGCCCCACTGTTGCTCTGGGAGTCCCAGAGCCCAGGGGCTTTCTGGCCCTCCAACTAGGGCACCCCAAGATGAGGCTTGTGGGAAGGGACTGGTGATTGCCCTTGACCTCCCCAAGTCATGGCACCCAGCCCAGTGCTGACACAGCCAGAGACAAGGAGCCCTCACCCATCTCGGCCGAGCAGGAAGAGGGCGGGTATGTCAGCCGTGCGCTGGGTACTGTCCTGGATCATCTCCACGTAGAAGCTGTCATTGTCAACTGCGTTGTCAGAGATGATCACCGCCCGCCCACCGTGCTCCTGTACCACCCGGGTCTTGGAGAGGAAGGAGCAGCCCCTGAAAGAGATGATAAGATGAAAGGGAAGGCAGGGTTTTAGCTACCCCTCTCCCAAGCTGTCACCCTAGAGAAATGGAAGAAGGGCCATGGGTAATTTTTAATAAAGGCTTATAAATGGCTAAAAGGCATGGATAATCTTAAAGACTTAAAATGATGAATTATTTAAAAACTACTTAAAAGGACCACCACCACCATCATTGATCTTTAGAATCTACCATATTCCTGCCCTTCCCTTTCAGTGCGGGCCCCTGCCAGGCCTGTCTGCTTCTCACCCCCTTTCCACCAGAGCAATCTGGTCCTGGATGAAGAAACCGTTGCTGAGTTCTCCACAGGCCTCTGAAGGTTCCGCGGGGACAAGGTGAATCTGCTCATACCTTGTGTGCTGAAAGACATTTAGCCAGGTCAGAGTGTGATGAGATGCATCTTCCTTAAGACCAGGTTGACGTCCCATTCCATCAATTCCTCACAAGATGAAAAGGAAAGGTGTGGAGTGGTTTCTGTGTGTTGAGCACTTCATTCTCACAAGGGTTACCAAGTGGTCCTACCCCTTTCCACAAGATGGGGGAGTTGATAGGGACCCAGAGGAAGGAAGTAACTTGCCTTAAATCACATAATTCAAAGGCAGGACTAGCAGGGCCCTTGGTTTATCACTATTTCATTTTCTCAAAGACAGCTGGTCCCCCCATAGTTCCCAGGTCTGTATTATGCCCAGGGAAGTAGCTGGAAGCCCTGCCTGCACTGCAGCCCCAGGAGGGCAGAGCTGGATTCTGCTCCCTTCCTTGCCTCAGCACTCAGGTACTGGTTGAAGGGATGAGAGGGGTCATCTCAGCTTAAAGGGGAAAGGATGGCGGCAGGATCGGGGAGGGGGAGCCCTCCCTGAACTTACAAAGATACCACCAAAGTCCTTGGCAGGTGTGGCTGTGAAAATGTATCGAATGTCTCCAGGACTCAGCACTTGGAAGTACAAATAATCATGGATGCGTAAACCTGAAAAATAAAGAATACAGGTGAGAAGCCTCCATGGACCCTATAGTCTTCAGCTAAGCTGCCTATAGTCTGGTCCAGGGACCCAGCTTCAGCCAAGTGGGTCCTCCAGTGGGGTGGGATAGATGGTCCCTGCCCTGAGGAGGATAGAGTTGATGCACAGTTAGTAATCCCTGAGATTAATAGTTGCCGCTGCTTACAGAGTCAAACCAGGAAGACCGAGAGGTGCAGTGTTATCTCTCTGAGGGTTAATCCATCTTAGCTCTGTGTTTCCTCTGAGGATTAATCTGTTTGTGCTCTCAGGTGTACCTGAAAGTTTCAAGGTGGAAGATGTGGTGGTCTAGGTAAAAACAATTTTCACTAAAACTTCAGAGTTGACTCTTCCCTGGCTGGTGTGGCTCAGTGGATTGAGTGCTGGCCTGCAAACCAAAGGGTCACAGGTTTGATTCCCAGCCAGGGCACATGCCTGGGTTGTGGGGCCAGGTCCCCAGTATGGGGCGCGCAAGAGGCAACTACACATTGATGTTTCTCTCCCTTTCTTTCTCCCTCCCTTCCCTTCTGTCTAAAAATGAATAAAATCTTTTTTAAAAGAAAGAAAAGTTGACTCTGATGTAACTTGGTTGAAGTGTCGTCCTGTAACTGAAAGGTCGCCAGTTCAATTCCCAGTTGGGACACCTGCCCAGGTTGTGGGTTCATTCCCTGGTTGGGGCACGTGCAGGAGGCAGCCAATTGGTGTTTCTCACATTGATGTCTCTCTCCCTTCCCTCTTTCTCAAGTAAGAATAAAATAAACCTTTAATAATAATAATAAAAGTTGACTCTCTGATCCCACATAGCAAGATGTGGTGCCATCTTGCTAGTCCACCAATACCATTTCTTGTCCTGACTGGTCTATCTTCCTCCATTTTTGCTCCCTAAGGTTCATTCACCAAACAGCAGCCAAGGATCTTCTTAAAGCAACTTAGCAAATATGACCATGTCACCATACCCACAGCTTCAATACCTATCCACAGTTTCCCTTTACACTTAAAACTAAACCCTTATCTATGGCCTGCAAGGCCTTGCTCCATCTGGCCATTGGCTGCTACTCCAAACTTACCTTCTTACTCGGTTTAAGCTGCACTGGACTCCAGTTTCTTCACTTCTCTGAGTCTTCTTGCAAGCTGCTCTCTCTCTCTGGAAGGCTCCCTACCCTCACGTCACCCCACCTCTACCTATTTACCTGGTTCACTCCTACTCATCTGTAAGGTCAGAGCTGTGTCACCTTCTCAGAGAAACCTGCCCTATGACTGCCCTTCCTTTATGTCCATTCAAAATATACTTTTTCTCCATTGATACTTTCAACGTAACTTGTAATTATGGAATACTCATAGTTATTTTTGTTGTTGTTTAATGTCTGTCTCCTTCACTAGAACAAGGACCATAAATTTGTAGCTTCATACAATGCTTTACCCACGTTACCTAGCATAGTGAATAGGATATGGTACACAATAAGCGTTGTTGAATGAATGAATATTTCCAGTTCCTACTGCACTCAGGAAGAGAATTGCCAGAATCAGATTTTCTTGGGGTGTGGGAACTTCTCTTCAGCACCAAAGTGTAATGTTTCACCTAGACTTGAGTCCCTCGTTTCCTTAGCTCAGGGAGACTGAGGAATGTGGAAGGGTGAGAGCGGCTGCCACGGGTCTATTATCAAGCACTACTGTGTGCCAGGGTTGGGACTGATTATGGCTTTAGTTGTCTTTGTCTACTGCCCAAATCATAGCCATCAGGTAGAGCTCCTCTGTCTTGGCACAGGGCTATGCATCCTTTTATCCTGGGAGTGAGGACTTGCCATCAGATACTGATACACTCTTAGGAAGCCCTCCTGGATTAGCACTAAACTCGCCCCCTCATCTCCCCCACACAGCTTTGTCTGGCTTTTACATCTGCTGATCTGTGAAAATTAAGCGTGGTGTACGTATGTGTATGGCTGTATATGTTTCTGTGCTCTGGTATATGCAAACAGGCTGTCTGTGTAGGTCCGTGTTTGCATGTGAGCACACATGTAGGAGTGTGTGTTCCCGTATATGTATGTTAGCGCTCACGTACATATACGGGAACACACATACATATACAGGAGCAAGCATGTGGGATCTCCACTTGTCCCTTGTTCCTCCTCTTGGTGTCGCTCCCTCAGCCACATGGGTCCGCATTAGTGGGGGTAGGGGAGAGTCTTGCTTCGACGTAGGGAGATGAGGCTCAGAGCCTAACCTCAGGCCGCGCCCAGCTCAAGTTCCTGAGGACCAGCACCCACCCACTCCAGCCGCCCGAACTCGCGGGTCCCCAAGGTGACCTGTGGCCCCCGGCCCAAGGCGCGCACGAACTGGACAGCCCACCCCTCAGCACAGCCCCGCCCGTTGCCGCTCACCGTGGGCCGCGATGCACGTGGGGAGCCAGAGCACGAGACAACACCAGCCCACAGCGCCGAGGACCATCTCCAGGGCCCGGCCGGGCGCCGCGCTTCCTACAGCCGCCCCGCCGCTCCTTGCTCGCGGGACTTCAGCCTGACAGCTGCTCCTGCCTCCCGCCCCCAGATCCGCTCCCGTCGCTGGTTGGTGGGTGAGGACGAGGCCCACGGTTGATTGGCCATGACGCCTGCTCATGTAGCCACACTTTCCGTCTCTGCGCCTTAGTCCACTCCCTATTGGCCAATAGAAGTGGGGCCAAGGGATGGTTGGTCTAAACTCTTAACAGTAAAAGCCAGCCCCCACCCCAGCTCCGCCCCAGTATTTCTCAGTTTGGATTGGACCCCGGAGGACCTTGCGAGTTGTGTGTGGGCTGGAAGATGACCGAGAACTGTAGGGACGATCTTGGGAGCATTCGCTTCAGCCGACGATAGTCCTGGTCTTCAACT